GTATGTATGATTGTTCCCAAGGTACAGTTTAAATGATGCATAATACCCCAAGCAATTTAAGAGTATATTGTACCTTGTACCCTGCTGAGTGCAGTACCAAATTTCATTAAAATTAGAGAAGGGGTTCTTGAGCTAAGGCCGTATTTCTGTTTCTACAGTCTTTTTAATAGGAAATTTTGTTTGTTTTCACTACATTCTTATATCAATCAAAAAGAGGAAGATTGACTTTCTCGCATAACGATGTCTCATGCGGGTCTTGTCAGATCATGTGACTGTTTCTATTCTAGTGATTATTTATAACTTTTATTGCTATTTTTGTTTTGATGAAGGAGAGATAACTTGTCTCTTGCTACAATTTCTAGAGTCCACTAAATGTTATTGCTCTTTCTAGTATTGATGGGAGTTTCCTTCCTATCCTTTTGTTTAAGTGTTATGGTACCCACCTACATGTGAATGAACACTTCCTCCTTTCATAAATACCAACCTGCGAGACTTCCAGGAAGCAGTCAAAACAAAGTGTAACCTGACAGTTTGGATGGACACTTCTATTTGCTGACTAATCATACTCTTACTTTGTATATATCTGTTATTTCAATACACTTGTTTAACCTACCTTTTTCTTCCCACGTCTTTCTTTCTGGCCCCTAACAGGCCACAACAACTTGGCGACAAGGATTCATACTTCATGTGGACTCTAAAATTTTCTGTTGCCAGTGTCTACAACAACTTGGTGACAAGGATTTGCGAGGATTTATGAGGACCACCAGGATTAAAAAGGAACTCTCCTAAAACATGGGCAAACAAGTTTTTGTAAAAGAATTACATGTAATTGCTAATTTGTGTTAACAGTAGATGTATGAGAAATTTATTTTTATTTTTTGTCACATTTTTTTGATTTGAAAAGCATCTGGAAAAAAACCAGCAAAGTAAATCTGGGAAAAAAAAAACACTTATCATAGAGGATTTCAAAAGTATTTTACTAGATTTTGTACCAGAATGCACAGCAGGATAAGTGGCAAAAACAACTGCTCTCAACTGGAAAAAATGGAAAAATTATTTCTGTAAAGCCAGAAGGAAAATCAAGAGAGACAGCTCAAATTTCAAAAGTAAGTTTTAGTAATACTGCCATCAAAAAAATGTAATCCCATTGAAAACGAATTTTTTTTTCATAAAAAACTACCAACAGTGCGATAAATTTTCATACAATCCTGAGGAAGACATAACCTTTGTGTCATACTTTAGGAGATATGAGGACTTATTTACTACAGATTGTGTAAATTGGAGTGACTTGAAAAAAGTACATCTTCTTCTGAGGAAACTTAGCACAACTGAGCACACAAAATTTGTAAACTACATTCTGCCTTGGAAGACTAGTGACTTGACATTCACCGAAGCAGTGGAATTACTCATGGAGCTTTTCAGCCCAAAGACATCTCTTTTCTATAAGAGATGGAAATGTCTTAATCTAACTAGGAATGGGATGACTACACGACTTTGCTTCAAGAACTCCGATGATTTTAGGCTGGTGGAGCTAAGTGCGAACAACTTCAAATGTTTGATATTCATGTAAGGACTAGTGTCAACAAATGATGCAGAAATTAGGCGAAGAATACTAAAGCAAATTGGAGAATGAGGTGAATATAACTCTACAGCAGATCACTGAAGAATGTCAGAGGTACATTGTTTGTAAGAAAATTCTAAAAATATTGAAAGAATTACTGGTATTGCTCAAAAATCAAGAAACAAACAAAGTCACCTAAAATGAAACAAAAAAAAAACATAAGTTGCCCTGTAAACAAAAACAAAGTTCTGTCTAATCCTATTAAGCTAATGATACAAGCGGAAATGTAAAGCAAATTATAATTTTCACAACCTATTTAACTCATGTTATAGATGTGGGGGATTACATGGTTACAAAAAAGATTGTATGTTCCGGAATAAAAAATGTTACATATGTAACAGAGTTGGACACAAAAGCTCGCATTGCTGATCTAAAAATGAAACCAATAGCTGCATAAAAAATACAAGGTTGGATGAACTAGACGGTGCTAATACCAGGAAATTCATGCATGTAAAAATGTTAAACAAAAGTGTGAAATTTCAATTAGACTCTGGTTCTGATTTGACAATAATTAACTTGCAAACATGGAAAAGATTGGGTAAGCCAACTATGATAAAATCTAGCAAGATTGTAAGATCAGTAACTGGGAAAAAATTAAATTCGAAGGAGAATTAATTACAAATATAACGTTCAATGGGAAGACTCTTAAATCAAAAATTTTTCGTACTGAAAATACTAACAATCTATTTGGCACTGATTAGAACCTCTTTGGGACTTACCTATAAATTCTTACTGCCAAAAAATTGAAAACTACAAGACAACGTAAAGCCAGTGTTAAAAAAAGATCATCCAAATTTGCCTTTTGCCTCGTTGGAACAAATTAATGGCAAAATTTGCAATAGTAGACGATGTCCAACTAGTGTTTCAAAACGAAGAAACAGTTTCATCTGAAAACAAATTAAAAATTAACTGCTAAGAAAGTGAAGCTGAAGTTCTATCAAAGGTAAAGACAAGTGTTTCATCTTGACAAGATGAAAAAAGGAAAATTTTGTTGAGGCAAAGGAGCCAAAGCAAAGAAACTGGCTCAAGGAACACAGGCCTCTATCTCTAAACAAAGCAAGAAAGTTGCATCAGTTTCAGCAAACTCTGATCAGAAAAAACATTGTTAGATTGTAAAAAAAAAAAAAAAAAAAAAAATGGACCAGTGAAAGGGAGAAAAGGTTTTAGTTTCTGGAGAAACAGCAGCAAAAACCGTACCGAAAAAAAAATCCTTTCACGAAAAAAAATTTTTGTTCTATGTTGAACTTGGCAAAACAAGTTAGTTTTTTAAATTGGGTGTTAGATGTGAAAAAAAAACACTTTTTTTCGGGGAAATAAAATAAAACAAGTCAATTTGAGGAAAACCACTAAAAAGTTGGTGGAAACTTTTTACGGGAACATGTGGAAAAAAAAAAATGCATTCAGACTCCTGCAAGTTATTATTTTAGAGGAAAATTTTGAAAAAAAAAAAACTCTATTGAAGTATAATGATCTTCTTTCTCTCATAAATACAAACTGAATACGTCGGGAATGGAGTGGAGAGTAAACCAGTGCTAATCTACTTATTACTAAAACTATTGTTTTGTATATATCTTCAATATACTTTTTCAACGTACATTTGTCTTCCGTGTCTTTCATCTGGCCCCTAAACAGGAAATTTTTGGGATCGAAACAGAAAATGGTTGTCATCAACATTGATACCAAGTTGTAGTTTGATGTCATCAGGAAGGTCATTGGGAAAAATTAAGAACAAAGGGGTTCGAAGATAGAGCCCTGGGAGAACATGCTGATATATATATATATTTCTTTCTTAGCGCTCTTTTCGTTTTTCTACTTCTCGCTCTACCCCGCAGAATTCAGATTTAAAGATTGATTTTGGGTTTCATTAAGCTGATTGGATATATAATGAACGTTGACCAATGATCTCTTAGACCATATAAGTTCTCTTGTTATTTTCTAACAGTTCTGTGAGTTTTATATATTTCACCACTGTCGTAGATTTTGTTTATTTAATTAACATTTCGATGATATAAATGGACATTGTAAGATCCCATCTGGATAGATTATTAACATCAGAGCTAGATATTAATGAACTTTACTGTAGAGAGATAGGTCTTAATATTTCAGATTTTCCACATAGATAGATATTGACAGTTTTTTCTCTCGTTGTGAAATAGTGATATATACTCTTCCTTTTGTAATGGGTATTGTTAACGGGCGATCAAAACTTGTTTGTCTTCATCTTTTCTTCTCCCATGCCGGGTGATCTTCTGGTTGGTTTTTAGTTCGGATTAAAATGAGAAATCAAAAGAGATTTTAAACTTATCTCAGGATTTTTGGCACAGTGAATAAAGGCGTTGGTTAGATCCAGTGACAGGACCCAAAGAGTGTGAGTTCAATATTTTGTTAAGGCAGTGGAGAACTTTCAGAGGGAAATCTGAGGAATAACTGACATCCATCAAACATCGTGGAACTAGAACAGTCTCTCCAGTGAGCGAAATAAAGGGTTCAGTTCGAATTTTAATCACCTGAAGAAGGCCGGAGCGTACAACGGCCGAAACGTTTGATAAATATGGCTCAAAGATGTCAGGACAGTAGTCGAATAATTAAATAATGTACATAATACCTTATCTCAGAAATATTGACACTCTATAGAAAGGTGTGTTCCACTATATTTGTTGGTCCTTGAGGGCCTGTTGTATTGTACTTAGGTGTTATTTTATTCTTCTTTATTTTCCAAATTTTATTTTAGGTTGCATATGACTGGAAGCTGGATCCCTCTGCAGGATGAACTTGAATAGTTTTTTGTAAACTGCATTTCCTTTTTTTCCATTGATCTGATTTTACCTATTTCTTTCCGGACTGCTCCATGTCCATGGTCATATCATGTTGAAGCCACCAATCTGCCACTGGACGGTATGTCACTAGCATTTACCACCGGTAGCCCGATGTCAGACCGCCAGCGTGTTCGTCTCGGTAATGCTAGAGGCCCACCGGTGGCTACCGCCAGAGGACCTCTGACGTTGCCATCAACGGCGGAGCCATAAGGCCAATTCCAGCTGGGTTTGTTAGAATAAAAGAAGAAAATAATGAAAGAAAGAAAAAGCAATGTGTTGCAGCTAAAAAGAAATGGGTATAAAAAAAAGAAAATGAAAGAAAAATAGGAAAATCATCTCCCACCAAAAAAAAAAAAGGAAAAATATTTCAAAAGCAAGAAAGAAATAAAGGAAAGAAGGTAATAAAAGAAAAAAAATGACTCGTAAAAAAAATTAAAAAATGATGAACTGACAAAAAAGTAAGAAAGAATGAATAAAATTAAGAAAAAAAATGATTTATTAAAAAAAAAAAGAAAAGATGAAAATGTAAAGAGAGAAAGAAAGGAATTTAAAAGAAAGAAAAATTATTTGTGAGAATATAAAAGAGAAAATAATGAACTAAGAAGAAAAAGTAAAAAAAAAAAAAAAAAAGAAAATGACTCTCTTGAATAAAATAAATAATAAAAAATTATGAATAAAGAATTTCTTTTTAAGAAAGAAAAAATGAGAATAAAAGGAAAAAGAAAATGAGTTAAGAAAGAAAAAAAGAATGAAAAATGACTCGTGAGAAGAAAATAAAAAAAATGAACTGAGAAGAAATAATGAAAAAAGTAGAGAATTAAAATAATTCGTGAAAATAAAAGAAAAAGAGGAAAATTTTGAACTAAGAAGAAAGAAAGAAAGAAAGAATTTAAGTAAGAATGAAAAAATGATTCCTAGGAATAAAAAGGAGAAAATAATGAAGAAATAAAAGAAAGAAAGAAAAGCAATGTGTTGCAGTTAAAAGAAATAAATATGGAACTTAAAAAAAAAAAAAAGAAGAATGTTGATCATCCGAAAAAACGAGTTTCCCCTGATCGCGAAAGAAAAAGAAAAAACAAAAAACAAAAGAAAGAAAGAAAAGACAGAAAGTTACAACATGTGGTTATCAAAAGATAAAGAAAGATTTAACAAGCCATCAAAATAAAAAAGTAATGAGAGCAAGAATGGAAGAAACGTTTGATCTAAAGAAAAGAAGGAAAGAAGTGAATTGATCACAAGAAAGAATGAAGGAAAAGTGTAACATGTGGCGAAAGAAAGAAAGAAATAGGCAACATGTGGTGAAAGAAAGAAGGAAATAAAGAAAAAAGTGAAAAAAAACAAGCAAGTAAATGAAGAAATCCTCTTAAGGAAAGAGAAAAAATGGTGTGTTATAAAAAGATGTACCAACACGTATGTGCAAAAACATACGAACACCCAATCAGAATAATGCATAGGGATCGGCTGCGTCCCTTAACTGCAATGTCAGACCATTAAGATGCGTACCAGCAGCCATGTTGACCTATACGGTCAGCTTTCATCTCCATTAACTAGAGAACAGGTGAGGGTTGGTTATTTTGGGCATTTGATGTTTGTTTCTCACATTCCTCATGGCGTTTGGCTTATTCTCATATTTCCATGATTATCGCTTTGTGGTGATAACCTTTAGTGAAAGTAATCGCTCCGAGAAATATCAAGAACGGTAAGAAAAAAGAAGAATGGAAGAAAAAGAAAAAAAGGGGGTCGACAGGTTAGACAAACGGAAGAAGAAAAAAATAACATAGGGATGAGGAGATCTGAATTATGTTGCTCGCAGAAAAAAAAGAAAGAAAGAAAGATCAAAAGAAAGAAAGCAAAGGAATCTTGAGAGAGGTGCGGGTGGGGAGGTTAAGATTGAGGGAGGAAAATACGGAAAAAAAAGAAGAAGAAGAAGAAGGAGGAGGAAAGAACAATGAAGGAGAAATAATGAAAGAAAGAGCGAAGGAAGAGATGACAGAAATAACATCAAGTGATTGAAATAACAAAATAAAGAAGCAAAAGAAACGCAAAGAAAAATAAAGTAAACGGAAAAAGAAATGAATAAAAAAGAAAAAAGAACGCAGACGTGAATAAAAGAAAGAAGAAAAAAGAAAATAAATCAAAGAAAGAGAGCTTAAATAGAGAATGAAAAGTAGACCAGAAGAATAATAAAAGAAAGAAAGAAGAAAAGAAAGGGAAAGATAAATATAATACGGAAAAAAACAGAGATAAAATGGACGTGAATAAAAGAAAAGAAAGAAAGAAAGAAAAAAGAAAGAAAGAAAGAAAGAAAGAAAGAAAAAGAAAAAAAAATATATATGCAAAAGAAAGAAAGAAAGAAATAGATAAATATATACGGAAAAAACAAAGATAAAATGGACGTGAATAGAAAGAAAGAAAAGAAAGAAAGAAAATAAATAAATTGATATAGTCAATTAAATTAAAAATTAGTTCTTCAAAGTTTGCATGATACGCAAGTATATATAGTATTTATTTTTAACCCTTGAGTCTGTTTTATTCCCAAAGTTTCCAATAAAATAATTATCCTACCACCTATTCCCATTGACAATGTTTAGAAGTGAAACCATATGCCTCAGGGTGAAGGTCAGTTTGAAAAACATGCTTAAAGGTAATCAATATTTGATTAACAAACAAGCATTGATGATTTTGTTAATATTCCAATGTTCATTTCTGTCATTTCCATATTTAGAAAGGGTTAAAGGTAATCAGTATTTGATTAACAACATTGGCTTGATTTTGTTGATAGATCCATGTTTATTCCCATCATTTCACAGCATTATTCATATGAATATTAATGAAAACAATTTGTTTATCAGGTATTGATTATTTGCTGATAAAGATCTTGATATGTATATAAGCCATTTATTTCTATAATGTGCTTGTATTATTTGGAGCATTTCTCTAGAGCAGAGAGTTTTTTGTCAAATTCTTAAGTATGGTCCTTCATTTGATAAGTGGTGGAGATGAAAAATATTACCTCTCCCACAAGGAATTGAAACAAAATAAAAAAAAAAAAATGACACTGCACCAATTGAACTTGTGTTTAAACCACCAATTGAGAGGTGTACTCATAAGTTTTAAGTGTCTTAAAATCTCCCTCATTCCTTTTCTCCCTCCATCTCTCTCTCTCTGATATGAATTCCATAATATTTTTCTTAATCAGTTTTACCCCATGCAAGTCAGCAAAGACACAAGGGGTTACTGGGTGTGCAAAAAATTAGGAACAGAAACATTAATAATGAACGGGAAGAGAAAAGTTTAATCAGGAGGACAGTAGATATTGATTGATATTACATTTAAATTTTTGCAGATTAAAGTTGGAAAGCATGGAGCTGGAAGAGAGTTCCACAAGCAAGAAGTGTGAGATGAGAAACTTTTAGCCTAGAAGTTACATCTTGCCAGCTCAACTGTAAATTGATGAAATTAGGATTAGCCAGTCTTAGAACTGATAATTAATGATTCATCTTTGGATCAAGAAAAAGCTCAAATAAAATAGCAGGAGTTTCGGAAATAAAAATGTGGAAGAAATTTTTAAGCATGGATGAAGTAGACGTAATAAATTCTGGCTTTAAGATCAAAACAAAATAAGAAAAGTTGACAGTAGGATAATAATATATCTAAAAAATGTAGATACCTCTTCTTATCAAGAATCAAAATTTAGCCATACTTTCTTAACTTTTTTGATTTAGTGCTCCCTGTTTATTTTGATGGCACCCTATTTAAATAGTGCATGCATGTGTTGATAAGAATCAAAATGAAGACACCAGTTTAAATAAATCAGTGCATAATAAGGATTAAATTCAGACCCAAAGGAATTTTTTCAGTTCTCTTGTGTGGACTGTGTTTGGCATCAGAGGGAAGGAACAAACCTACAGAATAACTGTTAAATAATATTGGAGGCTTTCAATTTGAAAGAGAGGTGAAATAGTAGTATTATTTGGACATGAAAGAAATGAGGTTCCATTTTAACAAAGTTCTTGAGCAATTTTTGAGAGAGATTTTCTGCATGTTCCCAAGGAGATTTTCATGAAATCTGACTGTGAAACTGCTAGAACTGGTATGAGTTTCAAACAGCATGGGGTTGTATGTAGTTTTTCCTTTGGGTAGTGTAGTATTTGGGTCTTTAGTTGTGGAGCATAAATGTGGATGGCTTTGATTAGCAAATTATCCATCGATGACAGGAAAGTTATGAGACTGATAGTTTGTTGTTTATGTTTTTGCTGCCTGGATGTTGAGTAAACCTTTTTTCTGCTAAAAAAAAAATATAGTCTTTTATAGCCTATTGCAGATTTAGTTTTAGTTTTAATTACAGGTAGATTCAAGAAGGAGATTAAAGATTGTTCCACAAGGAATGAGAAATCTGGAAGTCAAGACTGTCAGGACAGGGACCATGTATCTTCTGCACTAATCAGCAAGGGAGAAGTTTTGAGCTAGGCTTGGAAAAGTGGACAGGCGTTACTGAAACTGAAGTTTGAAAAGAGCAGGTCTTGCAGGTAGAGGTCGCTGAAAAAATTGATGGAAAAGAGACTGGATAAAAAATTCCTATCAAGGCTTTTAAGACTTGGGACTTCCGGTTGTACCTGTTCTGATTATTTTCTTTTTTTGCTATCTCAAATCCCGAGCAAAGTAAGGAAGTCCCTGACAAGTTCAATAGCCAACAAGTGAGATAGTTTTCTATGAGGCTTATTTCCTATCATGTTGAAACATTGTTTTTCATCCAATCACTGAAATTTCAACATTGTCTCTAGTCAGATTCGACAGATGGATGACCATTTTGGAATACTAGGTATATTAACTTATATGTCAAATACCCTTGGGAAAGGTATGAATCCACTTTATTTTCCCAGTTAGGTGAAAGAGTAGGACTTGTATCAGAAAATAATTATTATTCAAAAAATTGTTACAATGCAAAAAAATTTTTTGGCTTTAACAACTTTTTAAAAAGTTGATAAGCTGTAAAAAAAAATTGTCAATCAACAATAAGGAAAAAAAATCCAGACAGAAGTTCTCATTTGTATTTATCATTAGCAATTTATAGTGAAAATGATAGAAGGAAATAAAATTTTTACAGCATGATATTAAATGAAGAATGAAGTTTCTGTAATTTTGATCTGAGTTTTAACTTTTAAAAACAAATCATTATTTTAAAAATTCATTAAAAAAATAAAAAAAAATTCATCAAAACATATCAAGAAAGTCAGGCTATACAACCTGGTCTGTCCTGACTATTTCATAGCTGGGGGAATCAATTTTTCCTAATTTATAAAAGAGTATTAGAGTGCAAATTTAATGGATTCGACTAATGGATTGAACTTGGATTTTAGCCTTAATTCTGATTTTTAATCCACTGCTATCCAAAAACTATAAAAAAAAAACATTTACTTGCATGAAAAATTTTCATAAAATGTTTGATAAATTTGAAGTATGTTATATCTGACTATCTTGATAGGGATTGATTTTATAAATTAAGAAGTTTTTTACATTTAAGATGTTTTTTGATTAATGAAAAAGGTAATGATAGTTTGAGAAAATTGTTAGTAAAAGTATGTAATTTACAGGAATAAATAAATTAACCATACGTTTTCCTCTTTGAAAAGTTTTATGTAACTGAAATAATAACCCAAGCAAAATTAAATTTTAATCTGAAAGAGAAAATCATTGTTATAGTTAGTAGTTTCACTTAAAAATAGACCTTTTTTATTCATTGATTGAAGAAGATTTTTTAAAAAAAGTCTTGTTGAATTGAATCATAATTGTTTATTGGGCAACGATTTTAAATTCCAATGATAAATGTTTGCATGAACTCATTAGTGACCATAGTATAAAATTCTCCTCCTGCAACAACTCATTACCAAATTGCTAATAATGAGAAAATACTATAAGTAGAAACCACTTTGTGTACATGCACATGGTCACAAACTGCAACTTACCTATGTTTTTTTTTTACTTCAATTTCCTGTTTACTTACTAAAAGGAACTACTGATACTTCTACTACTGTTGCTGCTATTATATTTCCGGTGCAGGCGCTTCCCACAATTCCTTGTCACAGGTATGGCTGCCTGCAATATATTTGGACGAAGATGAGGGTGTATGTTAACTGAAAAAGGTTGTATTTACGGACTGGTACTGGAAAACTCGGAGTATGTCAGTGTCGACGAGGAGCAGAATGATCCGGATCCATTCTAGGATTGTGTACGGCGGGCACGGTCCGTGGAACCTAACTATAATCCTGACGGCAAGGAGTCTGTTGTTCCTGAATGCAAGGTGAGATCTTATATTTTTTCTCTCTCTTCATAACTTAAAGCATTCATTTTAAATGACCGTTTTTTTTTTTTCATCGTTCCTTGTTTTTTTTCACCTGTCTTTCTTTTCTTCCCATTCACATTTCGTTCCTGGTTTTAAATGTAATTTGTATTTCTGTTTTAATATCTTTATCTAACTACCGATTCTTAAACTGAAAATTTGGCTAAAAAAAAAGAAAAGAAAAAAAGCCTTGATTTCTATTTTCAGTTCTTCAATGTTCAAAGTTTAAATAGAAGGCCTTCGATTTTATAACTAAAAATGTACTTTAGTCATTATTTATCTATATTGCATTAAGAGCCTTGTATATTAGGATCATCATGCATTTTACTTTGTCTTTTATTAAAAACACAAAAAAAAGACTCATTTCGTTGTCATTCATTCCCACACTTTTCTTCTGACTAAAACTCTTACAGGAAACTTAATATTGCCATATCGAAAT